GGTGGTTTCCTTGTTGCTCTGTTCGAAACCTACTATATGGGGGCTCTTCTATCTTAATTTGGTTGTTTTCCATGCTCCCTCACCCAAGAATACCTATTTGGGCATTTTTCGTGTTAGCTTGGTGGTTTCCTTATTGCTCTACCCAAACTTGCTATATGGGGGCTCTTCTATGTTAATTTGGTTGTTTTCGATGCTGCCTCAACCGAGAACACCTATTTGGGCATTTTTCGTGTAAGCTTGGTAGTTTCCTTATTGCTTTATCTGAAACCTGATATGTGAGAGGTCCTCTATATTAGTTTGGTTGTTCCCCCTGTTGTCTTATCTGAACTTGTTGGTGAGTGGATTCTTGTGTTGTGCTAAGGATTTGCCTCCCTGGTGCCCCTCTACTAGCCTCCTTTCTTACTTGTGAGGAAGAGTTGGATGGCATATCCATTTGTTCGATATTTTAGGAAGATTGAAATGCCCAGTTTTTTAGGCTAAATTGACTGCAATGTAATGCCCCTTTTGATATTTGTTGAGAGAGCTGCAGTTAACTTCTTTTAGCGATTGGAGAAATTCTATAACAAGTTTTCTTTATTCATCTGATTTGAATTTGGAAATTGTGAAAGCTTATTTTGGGGATTTATACTTTTCGCTTCCATCATATTTGAATTATGAACTCTCATTCAAAGAAAAAAATAAAAAATAAAAAAAAAAGCATATGAAAGATCGAGGTGGCTTATAAGTTTAAGTTGTGGGATAAAAGACAATGATGCAAGTAACCACTAAGCAGCTTTTCTTACAACTGAAAATATAAAATCAATGTTCAATTACTAAGATTCTCTTTCACTTCCTTAAGTCGTCGGTAGCCCTAACCCTTCCTTAAAAGGTTTGAGAACTGGTAGTTATAAAAGAATAGATACTACAGATCTTACACAGATACTACACTTAAAAAGAACAAGTACGACACTACACCATAGACACCACACATTAATTAATACATATATACATTTGATATCACCTACATACACACTCCACATATCACATATTACACTTCATACACCTCATATAGATACACTACACACCTTTAATTAATAAGTTTAAATACTATACAACAAATACCACCTATTAGACATCGACGCACTGTACACAGTTGATCGATAAGTTCAGATACTGCACATCACTTATTTTAACATCACACATAGGTGCACCACACCCTGATAAGTTCAAATACTATCCCAGATGGGTATATTTTACTTTTAACTAGATAAGTTCAAATACTATTTGGGTTCACCAATCCATTAAATGATAGGGTTTAGGGTTACCCGATAATAGGAGTGATTCGTTGGTGACTTCTAGTTGATATTGATAGATTGACTTCGATATATCAGTGGCCTGGGGGATCGAGAAAAAAAAAAAGAAATATAGTCTGAGCCTAACCCCAAATTAAAATCTTATATGCCACTTTAAATTTTCATATGCTTATCATTTATCCTTTTTTTTTATAATCTGCAAATATTTATCTAATCTCTTTATGTTATGCAAGTATAATCTGTTTTGTAGCATCAGCATAATTAATCAGGTACGATTTTAGTTGTTTCAGTTTCTTTATTTTTCCTACTACATAGTTCTTTCTTTAGTTCTTTCTTTACTGTACATTCTTTACTGTACATTTCTTTTCTTTTTGTATTGTATTGTACCTTTCTACATGTTCTTTACATTTTTTTTACCGTACTTTGTTACATAATTTCTTCTTCTTTCTTTATTGCATTGTATTGTATATATTCGTCTGCACTCATGTGTTTAGTTACTCTCTTTTTGGCATGTTTATACAGTATTCAAGGATAGGCCGCATGAGGCATGATTTTCTTTCCTTTACTCTTTTCCCGTAACAATAAAATGATGTGGTCGGTTGACGATTCACCTCCGGGCAGTGGTCGTGACTACAACAAATACGACACTACACCATAGACACCACACATTAATTAATATATATATATATACATTTGATATCACCTACATACACACTCCACATATCACATATTACACTTCATACAACTCATATAGATACACTACACACCTTTAATTGATAAGTTTAAATACTACACAACAAATATCACCTATTAAACATCGACGCACTGTACACAGTTGATCGATAAGTTCAGATACTACACATCACTTATTTTAACATCACATATAGGTGCACCACACCCTGATAAGTTCAAATACTATCCTAGATGGGTATATTTTACTTTTAACTAGATAAGTTCAGATACTATTTGGGTTCACCAATCCATTAAATGATAAGGTTTAGGGTTACCCGACTATAGGAGTGATTCCTTGGTGACTTCTAGTTGATATTGATAGGTTGACTTCGATATATCAGTGGCCCGGAGGATCGATAAAATTAAAAAAAAAAGAAGTATAGTCTGAGCCTAACCCCAAATTTAAATCTTATATACCACTTTAAATTTTCATATGTTTATCATTTAGCATTTTTTTTATAATATGCAAATGTTTATCTAATCCCTTTATGTCATGCAATTATAATCTGTTTTGTAGCATCAGCAGAATTAACCATGTACGATTTTAGTTGTTTCAGTTTCTTTATTTTTCCTACTACATCGCTCTTTCTTTACTGTACATTTCTTTTCTTTTTGTATTATATTGTACCTTTCTGCAAGTTTTTTACATTTTTTTTTACCGTACTTTGTTACATAGTTTCTTCTTCTTTCTTTATTGCACTGTATTGTATATATTCGTCTGCACTCATGCTTTTAGTTACTATCTTTTTGGCATGTTTATACAATATCCTAGGATAGGCCGCATGAGACATGGTTTTCTTTCCTTTACTCTTTTCCCGTAACGAGATAATGATGTGGTCGGTTGACGATTCACCTCCGAGCAGCGGTCGTAACTACAATAGAAGGTGAAAAGAGGAGCTTCAGTTGAACTTCCGTAGACTTAAATAACATACCTATAGGACGCCGAGATCGTTCTTCTAGTACGACGTAAATCCTCACACTATCTATTAGAACTTTCTACGATTTTATATTATACGATATAAGTCCTAAACTTTTAAGATTTCGAGGTTATCGTTCGATACGACATAAATCTTCTTATTTTCTCAAGATATTTGTATATAATTTGCAATCACGAGTCCTGAATATCTAAATAATTTACAGGACTAAAACATCACATAATTTTCTATTCAAAGATGTAAAGTCAAATCATAGGTTAGTTTGAGGTGTCACTGAATCTCCTTCAGTATCTTCGACATCTCTTACTTTTCACACCTTTGGATTTCTAAAATAACTGTTCTTATTCGAACTTATCCCACTTGACTTTTCCTATAAACAACTGTGGAAATTTAAACGTTCAATTCTTAAAGACGAAACCCTGATCTTAATTAAAAGTTTTCTTAGGTGAATTCAGTTGCCTAAGATGTAATTAACTATAGGGGTTTGTCTCTATAGGGGATTAAAAACTCAGATTAATCTAAACCCTACCTAATCTGTGTATTAGATAGGGGAATTTATCGGCTATAAAATTTGCAGACTAAAATAGAGTCATAAACCTTTAAGTTTAGATAGTTAAGCCTACCAATAAGTGATATGTTTATCCTTCGAGATGATAAATTATTTATGATATCTTGCTCAGCTATTTAAACTATTAGATATATGAGATCTATCTGGTCTCATCATTTTCCAAAAAAAAATAATAAAGAATACCATTTTTCCAAAATTAAAATTACATTATATATTATACTAAATTTAAATTTTAAAATCTTATTTTCAAAAAATAAAAAATAGTCGACACAAACATTAAAGTCTAAAGGTTTTTGTTAGAGTAGATCTAAAACTAAATATATGGAATATAGTTTTAGTAGGAGTAGATCTAGTAGTAGACTTGTAATAAAGGGTGATCAAATCATTAAAAGGTGAGAATGTTTTAAATACCTTTGTGGGTCTATTGTTCAAAGATGGTGATAGACGAGGTTGTTATTAGTAGAATCCAAGTTGGATTGTTGAAGTATAGGAACACATCGACACTATTGTGTGATAGAAAAGACCACTTAAGACTTAAAGGAAAACTTTATAAGAATGTGGTGAGACCCACAATGCTTTATGGCGCAGAATTTGGGGGGCTTTAAAAGAGAACTATAAAACTAAGTGTTCATGAGATGAGAATGCTTAGGTGGATGAGTGGCTTGACACTTGTGTTAAAATGCAAAACGAATGTATCCGTGAAAGGGTAGGTGCAGCCCTAGTGGCAGACAAGGCTAGATAAAGACGTCTCAAAAGGTTTGGTCAGATTAAACATCGACCACGTGATGATCCATTTAGGAGAGTAGATGTTTCAGATTTGAATTCTGTTAAAAAAGATGGAGGTTGACCAGAAAAGTCTTGGGCATGTTGTATAAAAAATGAACTTAATTTATTAGAACTAAATGAAATTATGACACTCAATAGGACACAATAGGACACAATGGAAAAAAGATTCATGTAGCCTACCCCATTTAGTGGCATAAAGGCTTTTTGTTATTGTTGTTGTACCTCAAATAATGAAGAATATATTCATTCTTTAATAAGTAATAACTAATTAAGAGTGAATAGTACGATACACTAAATTTATTTAAAATTTAAGAAACAACATCAAGTGGACTTGACTTGTAGGTCCTTCATATAATGAACATTAAACATTTCAAGCTTTCAAATAGAGGGTTAACACATAGTTAACTAAAACACAAATAATCTAATCAATCTAAGTTACTCCTTAAGTAGCTTAAATTAAATAGATAAAATTTAACCCATCTTGCTAACTCTATATCATAACTTCCCCAAAGTTACTTCCAAACACGCTAATAAGTTCAAACTCTAAATTAGTTCTAAACAATCAAATACCTTATAATAAAAAATGCAAAAATATTCATCCTCATTTATGGATTAAATAAACTATATATGGTAGGAAAAAATAAGGAACAAACAGCAATTGAAGAATCGAATACAGAAGAAGCTCACTAGTTTTGTTTGCTCCTATTAAGAAGACATGAAGATGCTCAGCGCCTGCCCCACAGTCGAGCGAAGAAGATAAAGAGAAGATTTCCTTGATGTCGACTTCCAATCAAAAGTGAAAGGAGGGCCGACGGCTAGGGTTTCTGGAGAAGATGAGAGCGAGGAGGGAGGTTTGCGGCTGTGTGGACGAGACGACATGATGCGCGAGCCTCTCATCACCTTAAATGTCCGAGTGAAGGCCGTTGCGGGCCGATTCGGTCTCGCTATCGGGCGAAAGCTCGCTCGGGCAAAGTGCTTTGGCGGCTCAGAGTTAGACCGGTTGGGTTCGCTACACCTTTCCTCCCTCTCTTTCGTCTCTAACCCGGATAACTCGCTTGCTCTGATTGGGTAGGCTAGAATAAAATAGTCTTAATAAGTTCCTTCAATTTGTCATGTTAGCTTTTGCATGTTCTATTCAGATTTATTATTTATTGGATATTGCAATCTTGCTTGTCTTCCAATTGGGGAAAAAATTTGCGTACGTCAAGGGGTATGCAGAGATGCGTACATAATAGGGTACACGAGGTTTATACTGGGATTACAAGGGGGTTATAACCCGTTGTACCTCCCGTGTAACTCCTGTGTAACCCCGTTGTAACCTTGTAATCTCAATGGATAAAATAAAAGCGCGGGTTACAGCCGAGTTACACGAAAATTACAAGGAAGTTATAACACGCTTGTAACCCCCATGTAACTCCCATATAACATCCGTGTACCCTATTATGTACGCATCTCTGCATACCCCTTGACGTACGCAAATTTTTTCCCAATTGGAGGGGAGGGTCAGTCCTTGATTCCGAGGGAACCTTTTTTTTTCCTCCTATGGGAGCTGCATGGCGAAGGAGCAAGTTAGGGCGATAACTTGGCGCACAAATCGAAGGCATTTTACAGAGAAGATGATAACTATAAGAGGAAGCTGCTGATTCTAGAAAGTGTGTTATTCCTTGAATGTTGTAAATGAGAAGAGGCGGGGGCTAAGCTCTTTAGTACAATGCATGTAAATTCTGCTCACTTGTGCATGTTTTACCTTTTATTTCCATCACTTGAGTTAACATGATATAGTAAACCATCTTGGGCTCAATATGATATTTGCTTAAGAGTGGTGAATTAGATAATGTGGATCCATCTGTATGTTTACTTGGTATTACTGAATTCAACATGTTTTGGCTTGGAATTATGGTTTTTCCAACAAATGGGCCTGAAACAAACCATTTACAGTGGACATGCTTGTTGGAGGGGCAAATCTTACCTGATTACATTAGCTTTTTTAGACACCATCTCTTTCCACACTTATCAATTTTTTTTATCATGGATGACCCTTATAGGTTGATATTTTTATACGTTCATATTCTTTGCTTATCAAATGATGTAGTTCATGCATCACACAATGTGCTAGACTAATAATTGATGTCTCATTGTTGATTTATACTATCTAAACATGATTCTTCATTCATGGTTAAACACTTTATTTTCGTGTTTTATATTAACTCAAATTTGATTCTTCTTTTATGGCTAAACTCTTTATTGCTGAAGTTATTTTATTTAGATGTAAGCATCATTTGGTAATGACTTTTAGGATTTTGTCTTTCAAAGATATGACGTGTTACTCTCTTGGTTATTGTTGAAAACATGCCATCGAATGTGCTCTGGTACAAGTCATCCTTTTCTATTGTATGTTGATGAAGCTCCTCATTTGTAGAGCAAATCATCTCTACAATAGTGTCAATAACATTATGATGTACCGAATAGCATGGTACAACAACAAGGTTGGTTTTTCAAATTGTGATAGAATGCTAAACCAAACATTTATTAGAATTTCCTATGCTATTTATTTTAGAACTTGAATATGTTAAAGAATAAGGAACTCATGGCATTGATGCTTATTGTTGTTTCTTATACTTGAATAAACCATGATAAATCAGACTTTCATATAGAAAATGTCGCCTGTAGATTTATTTTGTGTTGATATTAATAAGACACCCTCAATATGGTTTTTTATGCTATAACCCACTAGCATACGATTCATGGATGCTATTAGCTGAAAGTTAGTAACTGGTATACCCAAAAGAACACACATAATTGCAAGTTAATGAGGTGAATGATTTTATTATTAGATTTTAGAGTAGAAGTAACTTTTTTGTATTATTGATTGAATATATGTAATGCCTCGTACACGAGCATTTTTGTCTCCTTGTTATATTAAGAAGTGAACATGGGGGAGAGAAAGAGAAAGAGATGAAGGAGGAATGAAACCACCTTTCATAATAAATAACCTTGAACTCAAAAAAAGGAGAAAGAAGAATCATATGTAACCCTAGGGTTCGGAGTATGAGTTTTACCTTGTTGTTAACGCTACATTTGATTAAGAGAAAGGAAGACAATGCTTTGAAATCGAAGGAGGAGCCCTAGCTATGTGCGTGCACTAGCAGTGGTACTCGCACTTGGAAGGGAAGTTCAAGGTGACGTCGTCCGAGGAAGTTTGGTGCGACAAAGGAGAAAGGAGTGGCTCTGCTTGCATTTTTTACCAAGGGAGGAGATGGGGCCTTGAGACCGAGCAGACAAGCCTGAGCTCGTCCTTTAGCAAAGGAGACGAGCATCGCGTGTAGTGGAAGAGAAGAAAGAAGGTTAATCCGCAGTAATATTACATCTTTGGGAGATTTGTTGGGCAATCAATAATTAAGGGTAATTATAAAATTTTAAATTAAGTTATTTAATATATATATATATATATATACATATATAATATCATGGCGTCCGCAGCGGGCTCTGCTAGGGGTTCCTATGCAAATGCCCTTGCCGGCGACTTGTTCTCTCCTGCTAGTGCCCCTCTAGGTTATTGTCTGTTTAGTAATTAATACTAATAGAAAATTTTATTAAGACTCAAAATATAGAATTTCAGCGTGGAGGGGAGAAGTAGGTGTTTGCTAATCTATTAATAAGATGCTTAATATGAAACTAGGACTGCAGGATAGCAATGCATATTAGATTGATTCTTACATTTGTTTTTCTTAAACGCAACATGTAATAATTAAATTAAAATTCAGTTGACAATGAAATTATCTGAATATGAGATGCATGACCCACCATCAAATTGTAGTATATTTCACTTTTAAAGATTTACTGAACTATATCAAAGCATAGATTGATACTTTGCCTAAATGCTCATTTCTCCGTGGAGTAACAAATGATATATGCATTGTACACAACCTCTCAAATGCTAACATTCTAAGATGCTTTAAAAAAAATAGTATTCTTTGGCCTAAGTGTTCTAAAAAAACTTCATGTTAGAAAAAGAGGATTCTTCTTGTTTTTTATATCGACTTCTCTACATGCTTTATTACTCCGCACTCTTCACGACAAGTCACTATAAGTTTGTGGATTACCTTGTAGATCATTTTAGTAGAGCAAAACCAAAAACCGTTTAGCCTTAGGAACTTTATTCAAATAAACATAATGAACTCTTGATTAATTGTAAATCCACATGAAGATTGAGTGTAGTACCAAAGCTCTAACCTCAATTCAAATCCCAATTGGGGATGTAAGTGAGTAAAGCTGGCTTGTGAGTCAGCTTGAACTTGTTTCGATAAGTGGCTCGTGAACTGAGTTCGATGAGCTATCATGCAAAGCTCAAGCCAGTATTGGCTCAACTTTTGATATTAATATAAAATATGCTCAAAATATATTAAATTTTAAGACTTGATCTTTAAATTTTAAAAGTAGATAACACAACATCTAGTTATTAATATCTTTGACTTGTCACAAGAAATTTGTTTGTTTAATGCTAAAATATTAAGACGAGAAAATAATATTAATGCATCAATTACAATCAACAAAAAGTATGATAAAAAGAAATAATATATCAGCAGAAAATGCATAACGTGAAAACCTTCAGAACTAAATCTCTAATATAAAAACTATAAAGTTAAAGCATGAGGAACTAAGTTGAAGTTTGGTGAAAAACGGGGAGTTACTATATTATTATTATTTTTATTTCTACCTTGCTTGATAAATAAAATCTAAATTATTTTATTTACGAGTGAGTCAACATTTATAAGTACTCTCATCTAAGTCAAATGACTGTATAATATGCTAGTCATCTTTATGACATCCGATTTGAGTGATGGAAAGATTTTTTGTAGAAAATAGGTTAGGAATAATGAAGACTTGTAAGGAGTAGAGGACATGAATAAAGCCTCAAAATCTAAAGGAAACTAATTTCAAATTTCTATTATAGATCTTAGCTAACTGAGATGCTATAGGATTTGTCGCAGTTGTTGCATGTTTGCTCTGACCTCCTTACTTATATTTCTTGTTTGAAGGTTAAATTTCCTTATTTTGGATAAGACTTAAAATTTCTAGTGAAATTATGCCTAAAAAATTTCCATGATGAGTAATAAGATGGGATGCATGCAAATGTCAACTTCTTCTAATATTTAAAATAAAACAACCAATTTGCACTTCTTTTGTCATTGATAAGTATTGTTTAGCTCAAGTAGTGCCCGGGTTAATGGCCTAGACAAACAAGTAGTAACATTATCAACTTGCAAGGATTAACCAAATAAAAATCCCAGTAAATTAGGTAGGATTGGTTAAAATAATGTTATAGATGCAAAGGAAATGATAGCTAGATTGGAGTGCCTCATGAATTCATTGAAGTGTCAAAATGGGGCAATCCTTTCTTGCACCCAAATCACCACAACTCGACATCGATGAGAAGTGATCAAGATCAGCTCATTGCTGCTACAGATCTATGGAGTACTCCTGAATCAATCTATCACCTTCTATCGCTACGTCTATGTCATGCCGAATCTGGAACGACCTTATGTGACTCTCAACACTAACATAGATCTTCAGCTTCACCTAGATGTCACTCGCCTTTTGAATGTTATCTACTGATGAGACAATCGATGGAACCACAAAGTTGAGATGCCAGGTATAAAGCAAGGCATGTGTGGTCGTCCACTCATCCCTCTCATCACTGGTACTCTTTAGCTCAACTCTCTTCAGATATCTCTCTAATCTTTTCCCCACTAGAGCAATCTAGGCCCGAAGTGGCTAACTCAAATATGTGCCTGGTCCATCAAGTTTTAGTTACACAAGGAGATTTAGCTTCACCTATGTCAGAGCACGTGTTAAGGTAGCAGCTCTGTCGAGACGCTAGCTCCCTTTATAAGCCCGACCAAGAACTTCAGAAAATCGTTATCTATTTTCCCCAGAAGCTCCAAACCATTACCTTCTGTACTATTTAGTCTTTTGACATTCTTAATTTAATTATTCCCCAGCCATCGTAATCCTCTTACGCACACAGAAAAAAATTCTCT